GCACGCAACGCAGCCTCGCTCTGTTTATCTCCAGGTGACTTTCTGCTGCTTTCCCCCGTGGTGCAGTGCTGATCGTTTCACCACAGAGGAAAACACTTCACAAATTGCAGTACCCATAAGGAGCTGTACAAATGCCGCAGTTTTTGCGTGGCTGTGTCTTTAGTTGAAAGCCCAGTGGCGATCTGCTCATCTCTCATCTAAATAATATGCTAAAAAGGGGCGGACTGGCCATCTGTGTGTTGAACTTTCCTGTCAGCTCCCAGACCGTAGTCAAGGAGGGCAGAAGCAACAAGCTTCAGGTTCAATAACCCACTTTAGCTTAAATGACTGGAGAGAGGCGAGCTCTTCTTGGGAGGCCGTTGCATTTATTTAGTTGTTCTTATGTTTCACAAAATACATCACAGTAGGGGTGGGCGGATCAATCCCAAAATATCGATGCTTCCGATATTACGTTAAAGATGGGGTAGCTAATTTCAGAGAAACCAGCTCGAGTGCGCTAGAATCGGAAAATACACAGCCGGAAAAAATCTGCCACTTCCTTACAGAGCCCCTCCTCCAACACACACGAACACGCACATGACCAATGAGGGCACGAGATATGTCTGTGCACAGATGGAAGGCTGACAGGCAGGTCGGCCATTACAGCGCTACGGCTTCCACAGATGACATTTTTTTATGGATTTTTTGTCAAAGCACTTCAGATATTCATTGCTATCGGGATGTTAAGAGCATTCCATGGAATATAACAAAAAGTGTATCTCGAGACGGTTTCTTAAACTTACCTACCCCACCTTTAAGTTTCAAAATATCGATACTAGAGCAAATAGGATCGACACTTTTATACTTTTTCCCCCCTCTCCTCCACTCGTCAATTTAATCAAAAACGATGTGTAGACGAACACAAGTATATGCCCTCTTTTCTTCTCTCTCTACTGCTGTCCTCCTCTCCCCGAGGCTCGTGCACGCACAGCGCGCACCCTGCCTGAACGCCAATTATCAAGCTGACTGACAGCAGCCAGCAGGGCAGGACAGCAGCAGCCAGCGACTCACGAGTGCGACACACAGGACTTGAACTGGTGACCTTCCAGTTGCCAAGCCAAGTCCCTATGGACTTTGCCACCACCGCCCTGAATCATAGTAGTTCTTGGCAGAACATTGTAAATTGCAGCATCGATCATAGCATAGTTCAATACTCCACAGAGGCCAGTGTTATATACTTGTGATTTGGTCAGCAGAGGTGTGTCAAACTAAAAGGATTTAGCAATGATGTTGTTAGGATTTGCAGTTCTCCGTCCTTCTTCTCCCCTTTGTTTTGTGTTTGTTTTTGTCTGTCTGTGTGTTTGTCTTCCTGGCTGGGCGTGGCTGACCCACTTCTGTTTCCCGCCAACTCATCCCCTCAGCTGTTGCTCATCATCCGGATTACAACTACTCACCTTCACCTGCATATATACCCGGTTCCTCCATCCAGTATTCACTAGTTCGTCGTTTCACCACGCTGGTAATACGACTTGGTACATTTGCTGTAGCTAAACTATACTCTCTGTGTTCTTGTTATCCTTACCTTGTGCTCTCTTTGTCTAGTATCCGTCTGCCTACTCCTCTGCCTGCCACGTCCAGCCACCAACCCCTCGTCTGTGTTCCTCCGTGCTTCCACGCACACCAGCTCCAACCGGTAAACTCTCGCCAGCTCTGAATCCTCGGCTCACCTCGCCAGCGTACCTCCGTGCATCTCTGCGCGTGAAAACTAAATCTTAGTGTGGCTTAAAATGCCATCACTCATTTCATTTCAGCTTCCGATCTCAATTACTATTATTGATTTATGGTGTAAATTTAACAATCTAAAACAAAAACAAATATATACATAGAAACCCATATAAAAAGGTGGATGGAGAGGACATGGTTTCTGTGGTCCTCTTCAACCACTGGCCATGTGGTGCATGGACAACAATCTCTTCCTTAATGTGGAGAAAACAAAGGAGATTGTTGTCGACTTCAGGAGAACCTCAACCCAACATCCCCACCCCCTGACAATCAATGGTGCCGCAGTAGAGCAGGTGAGCACCACATTCCTGGGGGTGCACATCACTGAGGACCTCTCCTGGTGCAACAACACCACGTCACTCGTCAAGAAAGCCCAGCAGCGCCTCTACTTCATCCGCAAACTGAAGAAAGCAGGAGCTCCCACACCCATCATGCACACCTTCTACCGAGGCGCCATCGAGAGCATCCTCAGCAGCTGCATCACTTTGTGGTTCGGAAGCTGTACAGCATCCAACCGCAAGACACTTCAGCCTTCAGGGAAAAGGTTCCGCAGCCTGAGGTCGAGCACAACCAGACTGAAAAACAGCTTTGTCCACCAGGCTGTCAGGAGGCTGAACTCTCTCCCCTCTATTTCACCTATCCACCCTGCCCCCACTGGACCGGGACTTTAACGCCCCCCCACACACATGACAAAAATCCAGCACCAGTCACTTTTTACGCTGCTATGGAAAATATGTTGCACTCTCATTTGCAGATCATCTTTTTTTATATATATCCTGCTTACTTTTGAAGTAAACGGTTATTTTGTGTTTTTTTGTAATTATTGAGTGTTCTTGTATTTTAATATGTATATATAGTTATGTAAGTAAGTTGGGGTATAGGTATGTATATCAGCGACGTGCAGTCAGGGGAGGCAGGGGAGGCAGAGCCTCACCTGTCATACTCATAGACTGGTCATACTACAATGTAACGGAAAAACAACTAAAGAAAAAAACTAAATAGTAATAATAATAAAATGTCTCTACTGATCTGTGTTGTAAATGTGATTTATGTTTGATTCCAATCGCTTTTTATAGTCAAAATCAGCAAATTTGCCGAGCTCCGCTACAACTACGGGTAGCGATGAGAAGTGAGGCAGGGACGAGCTCTGCCTCTCGTAAGCCCACAGTAACTTGCTCGAGCGCGGGCACTAATTTAGCGCGGGCACTTATTTTGTGAGCGGGCACTTATTTTGTGAGCGAGCTCCAGCCTGTTACTGTGGGGTAAGGTGAGGCACAGATGAGCTCTGCCTCACCTCAGAATGCGTCACCCCACAGAAACTGGCTGGAAAGCGGGCCCTAAGCGCATGCCTGCACCATCTCACTGTATGTCACCAATGTAATGTTTGTAAATCCCTTTATTACATTTATCCTCGCCATCCATAGTCTCTAAATAATTTATTTCACGTATATATGATATTTAGGCTCGCTGGTCTCATCATACAACGGCAATGAAAAAAGCACCAGGGGAGGCAGCCATAACCTCTGCCGCACTGAAGGGGGCGTAAGTGAGCCCACAGGTTCTTGTTGCTACTGTTATTCTACGCAGAGACCGTAGACGCAAACAACAACCTAGACTTTTGAAACTACTAGAAGATAAGGAGGACTTTTACAAAAAAGTAATAGAGATTGTTGTCCAGAAGGAGAGCATGAACTTCATCTTCAAGTCAAGGTAAGACCCCAATTGTAATGAAAATGGGATCTTACTAAGAAAGAACAATCCAATATTTAGATTGTGGTTAGCCTATCCTTTTGTTGAACGGTCTGTTTAAAATGAATCGAAGCATCAGACCAAAAAAGCTTTTGAAAATAACAGAATATTTCGATTAAGGTCAGAATATAATATTTGTAAATCTGACTCTGAAAGAGTCAGTGCCTCACCAGCCATGAACCTCACCGCACGTCACTGATGTATATACATATTTTATAAATATTGTATATCCTTTATTTCATGTTATACCTCCGGACTGTGGGAAACAATATTTAGATCTTTGACTTTTTGACTTTGACTTCACAACTCATTGAAAGACATCAAAGTAGTTGCTGAACTTCAGTTTGACTATGGTGTCAAAAGACTGGAAACACTTTTATAGAATACAACACTTTAATAATGTACAATCACAACACAGTTCATTCATTCTGTTAAAAAAACAAAGTCCTCCTGTCCGTCAGTAATGCCTCTCAGACAAATGTTGACTGGAAATTAGCAACTTTAATATTGTATAAATTCATAAATGGTCCTTTTGCAAAATATATTGCCGGAGCAAACATTCAAATACAGCTCAGAAAATAAAAAGTGAATTGAAACACATTGAAACACAATGACTGCTTCTAAAACTAATCATTACAAATAAAAATCAACATGGTACGGTTAATCATTTTAAAAACACGAGCAATGTGTCCAAGTGTTACATTTTTTGTTTTGTTCTGTCTGTTAAGCTCAAACAAAACAAATTGGTGACTGCACACAGAGAGGCACAACATGCCAAATTGGCCTTTTTACTCTTTGGCTTTTGTCCAGATAAAACAAACAGAACACACTGATCTGACCTGGGGAAGTGTTGGTCGGCCAATTTTGCAACGTTTAATCAGAGCCAGGCTCCATGTTACTGTTTCCAGTCGTTTTTCTAAGCTAATGTACCATTTATATTTAAGGGACAGATATGATCCCTCTTTGCATCCTATATAACACATACAAGAACCAAACATGCACTCAAAAACCTCTGAACACAGATTGAACATGCGCATAAAAACATTTGGATGAAAACACATGTATAGTTATAGTTTAATCTTGTACTAATGTACATTCCCAAATATATTGAAGTGACTGTTATTTTGATTATTGTAGCATTTGGTCAGCAGAGCAAGGTCATATAACTTTTAACAGAGGTCAAAATTATGCATTGAAGTTACATTTACTTTTTAAAATATATTTATTATATTATAATTTCTTCTTCTTCTTTTTCTTTGTATTAGTATTATTAATTATGCTGCAGTACATTCTAGCCTCTCACTCTCCCTTTAACCCACTATTAGATGCCATTTTTTACTTACATTAGACTACCTACAGACGGAGCCCACAGTTACTAACAGTTATAGCAAGCCATCCAACTTTATCACAGTCTGTAGAGTAATACTGACCCTAACATTAGTTTATGGGATACGAGAAACACGATAATACTGTCCTAAAAGTAAAAACGTGGCTGCAGGTGAGTGTGTGCATGAACAGCAGTGTTTAAAGGTCAGGGTCGTCTCCCCTGAGGGTGTTGAACTCTTCAGGGGCAGAGTACTTGCCAGCACCCGGACCTGCAGACTTCCGGAAGCCTGCTGTGATCTCATCGAAGCTGCGGCCCTTAGTCTCTGGAACCTTAAAGTAGGTGAAGGTGAAGAAGCCGAGCAGCAAGATGGTGAAGATGATAAAGACGTAGGGGCCACAGAGTTGCTGCGGGACAGCCAAGGCAAACATCATTTCATTTGAATTATGGGCCCCACATATAGTATGTACAGTATATGCAGCGCAGCAGCGAATGGACTTTCTGGAATGTTCAATATACTCTCGAATCAAAGCTTTTCTTACCTCAACATACGGGAAGCTCATCCCCACCAAGAAGTTGGCAGACCAATTAGAGAAACCAGCGACTGCAATAGCAGCTGGCCGGGGCCCCTGGCTGAAGAGCTCAGCCACGATGAACCAGGGGATGGGGCCGGGGCCAATTTCAAAAAAGGCTACAAAACTGAAGATGGCCCCAATGCTGACATAGGACATCCATTTGAGCTGGTCCTGAAAACACAGGACTTTCCGTCACCTTCTTTAAAAATCTCTATGGATTCAGTAAAGATTATCTGAAACACTTACCAACAACGCCATGGCAACCGTCAGAAAAACAGCTGAAACTGCCATTCCCATCAAACCTGTGAGGTGAAGTGGTCTCCTGCCCACACGCTCCACCACAAACAGCTGATGAGAAGAGAACGTATCTTATCAGAATGAAACGTCTGAGGCTTGCTATGTATGTGCTCGGCTGAGACTTACAGACACCAGGGTGAAGGCGGTGTTCACCACTCCTGCACCAATAGTTGCATAGACCGGCAGGGGCACACCCGCTCGCTCGAATATCCCAGTGGAGTAGTAAAACACCTGAACACCATGACATAACACAGGAATCAGTTTTTTACATTTTAACATTGTGTGTGTTAGTGTGTGTATACATTCAGGCGTGAGGATATTTATTTTTTGTAACACCTCCTGCTCTGGGCCCACCCAAATGTTGGAAATTATTACATAACCTCCACAGGTGGACCATTCTGCATCAATGCAGTGACAGAACGTAATTGATTTTAGCGTAGTATCGTTGCTTCGGGCACATCATGGATTTTATTAACTCAATGTGAAGCAGGAACTGGACAAGACATGCTGTGTGTAAAGTCTGTTACACAGAAATCAAATCGTTCGGTGACGCAGAGTTCAAGGAACAGAAGTGACTCAGAGACACCAAACACGGAGTCTGCTTTATCCACCAACACCAGTCCAGAACCAACAGGCAGAATGACCCTGTCTCTCAAATGCATTGGACAAGGTTCAACACTGGCTGAACAACATTTGCTTACAGTTAAATGCAAAAAAAACAGTATGCATGATGTTCAGTAAACGACCAGTCAAAACCGAAGGATCCAATGTGTTTTTAAACAGAGCAGAAATAGAACTAGTCTCCCACTTCAAGTATCTTGGAGTCATACTGGACTCAAACTTGACTTTTAAGAAACATATTAAGAAAGTATCCAATACCATTAAATTCAACTTGCAAAATGTTAAACAAATTAGACCTTTCTTAACTGTCAATGCTGCAAAGTCATACCTCCACTGTATGATTATATCCCACATTGAATACTGTTTGACAAACTGGTCGTTTGCTTGTGCCACAAACCTGAAACCCATAGAACAGCTGTACAAGAGAGCTATCAAGGTGTTTGACAGAAAGCCTTATTCATACCACCTTCATACCATACCATCCTTGAGAAAAACAATTTATTGAGTTTTGACAATTTTAAGTCTTTTAAAAGTATGTGTTTTTTTTAATAAATGTTTACATGGACTGCCCCCCCCCCCCCCCCCCCCTCCCTTAGGGGAATTCATCCACAAAAAACACACTGGACGCTGCACTAGGTCAGAAACCAGAGGAGACTATAAAGTCCACCATAAACCAGGGCCAGACTGGGACAATAAGTCAGGCTGGGAATTATACACCCAGCCAGGCCACTACCAGTTTTTTGTGCCATTTTGCTGGATTTCTTTGTCAATATTTATAGCGTTGCTGCCCATAGTGATAGCCCTCTAGTTTAAATCTACTACCCAAAAATAAACATATGGACATGGGTTACTATTTAAAAACATTTGCAAATCTATTTAGGAACCTATTCATGTGAACATTAATCCATCCAGGTTTCTCCACGGACCACTATTGCGGTAAGCATGTTGTAACTTCCAGTTGTTGTTGTCATCTCCGGGTATCCCGTGTGCCTGTTCTGTTGCTGATAGCTTATTATCTTAACTTAATCGATCGTTTTAAAACTCTTGATCACGGCAACTACCTGACGTTGTAATCACACGTTACTACAGCTTAAGCACTCACAACTCTCCTTCTCTTAGCGACTGTAACTCCACAGTTGCCTACACTCTTTTCGGGTTTGCTAACGGTAGCTACTTTAACTTGATAGCTAGCCATGGCTCTTTCCCCACCCTCGGGTGCTATTTCCTGCTCTACCTGTCTCATGTTTGGTTACTTCCCTACCTCCTTTACTGGTACCGATACATGTGTTAAATATAGTATAGTTGTTAGGTTGGAGGCGGGAATCATAGCCATAGAAGCCCGGCTCCGCATCTTAGAAAGTAACTCAGCTACAGTAAAGCCCATGTTAGCCGGTGCGGACCGGCAAAAGGTAGCTCCTCTTAGCCGTCCCCCGGCAACTCCCGAGCAGCAGGGAGACTGGGTGACTGTTCAGAAGGGGCATAACGTGAAACCCGCAGGTCCCCACCAACCCGTTCACGTATCTAACAGATATTCCCCACTCAGCGAGACACCCGCTGAGAAGCCAACTCTGGTTATTGGTAGCTCTATTATGAGACACGTGAATTTAGAGACCGAAGCCTCCACAGTGACATGCATTCCGGGGGCCAGAGCGGGTGACGTTGAGGCGCATCTTAAACTGCTGGCTAAAAATAAACGTAAATACAGTAGGATTGTTATTCACGTCGGTGGTAATGATGTTCGTTTACGCCAATCAGAATGCACCAAAGTTAATGTGGAGTCGGTGTGTAGTTATGCTAAAACAATGTCGGACACCGTAATCTTCTCTGGTCCCCTCCCCAATCTGATCAATGATGACATGTATAGCCGCATGTCATCATTTCAGCGCTGGTTGTCTTGGTGTTGCCCAGCAAACAATGTGGGCTTCGTAAATAATTGGACAGCCTTCTGGGGAAAACCTGCCCGGCCACACGAGGACGAAAACGGCTAAACGCATAGGATTAACGCAAACGGAATCGCAAAAAAGCTTCCGTCCACACGCAATAGTCATCCGGATAGTGTCTGTCCACACGAGACAGCTCCGTTTAGCTCCAACCGCTGGAGAAGCTGCAGTACATATGCAGGAGCCTGTACGTGGCGCTGTAACTTCCTCCACAAAAGCAGCGAAGAAGCATGGTTGTCATGGTTGCCCTTCTGTTTATTCTCCGCGGTGGGGGCCGAGGGAACCGGGCAGAGTTTTTCGCCGGTCAACGTGTATTAAAGTTTAAATCTTCCGGACAAAATTATAAAAGTGCCGGTCAAAGGTCTTCTTTGTTATTTATTGAGCTTTAAAACAAATTAATAACGACTCTATATAATATAATAATAACATACACGGAGCCTCTCTTTTTCCACCCTCTCTTCTGACAGTGTCAGTGTCTGTCTCATGCAGCAGCTGATCCAGTAATGAGTGACCCGGCCGACAGTAAAAATAAACATATTTATAAAATAGCTATGGGTGATGATCGGACTTGAAGTGTGTGTTTTGCTTCGTTCACTGCTGCATCAGAGCGGGAGGAGCTGCAGGTGAGCGGAGCTGCAGGTGAGCAGAGCTGCGTGTCTCCGTCCTGTCAGATTAGACTTCACTCGCGTTTATGTCCATATCAAGAGAAAGATAAATAATCTGAATTCAGTGTGCAGTTTACTTTGACGCGGGGGTGAGCAGCAGAGGTGGGGAGAGGCGGGGCTATTGCCTCATCATTATCAGAAAATGATCGTATAGGGCGTACACACGGAGCCGTTGGAGCGTTGCGTATGCCGTTCTATCCACCTTGGGACCCGTTATCGTTTCCGCAGTCGTTTAGTGCCGTATTCGGTCGTCCTCGTGTGGCCGAACGGTCTATATGACACTAAACAGTAACGCAAACGACCGTTTTCGTCCTCGTGTGGCCGGGGCATAAGAGAGACGGCATTCATCCTACTTTGGAAGGTGTAAATCTCATTTCGGCAAACATTTCAGGGCTTTGTGGACGTAATCCATGACAAACTGGAGTTGAGACCAGGAGGCGGAGTCGCAGTCTTACACGCTTCTCTGTGCTCTCTCCTAGGCAGTCATCCATAGGAATCCCGAACCCAATAAAATACCCAATATTAACGGTGTGTGTGTCTGCCCAAGGACAATTTAAGGTAAAACCTAATAGAGGTGTCATACATAATAACCTAATAAAAAAGGAAATGTAACAACTACTACAGTGCAACAAAACAGGAAGATTAAATGTGGTCTCTTAAACATAAGATCTCTAGCATCTAAAGCAATATTGGTAAATGATTTAATATCATATTATAATATTGATATATGATGTCTCACTGAAACTTGGTTGAGACATGAAGAATATGTCAGCATAAATGAGGCCACTCCACCCAGCCATATCAATATTCATATTGCCCGAGGCATGGGCCGCGGAGGTGGAGTTGCAGCAATCTTTGACTCAAGTTTACTTATCAATACTAAACCAAAATTAAATTATACATCCTTTGAAAGTCTCGTTTTTAGTCTTACGCATCCGACCTGGAAAACTTTGCAGCCAATGTTATTTGTTACAGTGTACCGTCCACCAGGTCCTTATTCAGAATTCTTATCAGAATTCTCTGAGTTTTTATCAACTTTGGTACTTAAAACAGATAAAGTAATTATCGTAGGTGACTTTAATATTCATGTTGACGATGACAAAAATAGCCTTCCTGTTGCATTTAACTCTATATTAGATTCTGTTGGTTTCTGTCAGTGTGTAAATAAACCAACCCATTGCTATAATCACACACTCGACCTTGTTCTGACTTATGGTATTGAAATTGAGCAACTATTAGTCGAACCGCATAATCCTGCTTTATCCGACCATTTCTTAGTAACTTTTGAAGTACTGTTACTAGACTACAAAGCATTAGTCAAAAGCTCCTGCAGCAGAAACCTATCTGTTAGTGCTATAGCCAAATTTAAGGAAGAGATTCCACCAATACTTGACTCGATAGCATGTCTGCATGTAAGGGAGGAAATGTATACAAAATGTACACCACCCCAAATTGATCATGTTGTTGATAGTGCTACAGATGCGCTGCGAATAAAATTAGACTCTGTTGCTCCTTTGAAAAAGAAGAAAATAAAACAACATAGATTAGCTCCATGGCATAATGCCGAAACCCGCAAAATAAAGCAAAAGTCGAGACAACTTGAAAGGATATGGCATTCTACTAAACTTGAAGAATCTCGTTTAATTTGGCATATTACTCTCAATGAATATAAGAAAGCACTGCGTAAAGCGAGAGCAGCCTACTACTCTTCATTAATAGATGAGAATAAGAATAATGCAAGATTTATTTTCAGCACTGTAGCCAGGCTGACAGAGAGCCATAGCTCGATTGAGCCTTCTATTCCCATAGCACTCAGTAGTAATGATTTTATGTGCTTTTTTAACGATAACATTGTTACTCTTAGAAACAAAATGAATGACCTCTTGCCTTTGACCAGTATAGTGTTATCAACAGCTCCCGGAAACGTAAGTTCTAATATTACACTAGATAGTAAACTAGAATGCTTTTCAGCCATAAACCTTGAACAATTAAATTCAATGATTCT